TAGATGATGATAAATAACATAGTTATGTATAATATATTACATTTCTGACTGTATATCCCTGTAATTATTACACACTGTAACTTTAAAATAAGTGTATATGTTCTTGGATTGAGGAGGTAAAAGAGACATCTTGCAAATGGAACAAGAAGATTTACATTTAAAATAAAAGAAACAGAATTTCATTGTCTTATTTCAAGTGCATATTATCAAATTATCTTATTTTAAGAGTAAAAATACTCATTCCATTGGCAAATCATCTTATATACCTATTGAAATGAAGGGTAAATAAACATAATTTAAGAAATGTTTACTTATTTCTAGATAATTTTTCAAGTAAACACCTCACACTTCAAAAACAATCTCAAAGTGAGTAATAATGTCTTAAATTATGGGTATTTACCCTTAATTTGAGCATGTAAAAAAGATGATTTGCAAATGGAATGAGTATTTTTACTCTTAAAATAAGTTATCTAGATATTATGCACTTGAATTAAGAGAATGCAATTGTTTTTTCTTTTTTAAGTGTACATTGTCTTGTTCCTTTGGCAAAGTTCCTCACTTAAATCCTTATTTAAAGAAAAAATGACTTATTTAGATTTCATTTTTTTGCAGTGCAGTCATGTCAGCATTAGTTGAATGTCTTCCATTATTATTCCACTTCATTTGTGTAGATAAATAAGATGATTTGCCAATAGAATCGGTAATTTGCTCTTAAAATAAGATAATTAGATAATATGCATTTGAAATAACACAATGCTATTTTTTCCCCTTATTTTAAATGTAAATTGTCTTGTTCCATTAGCAAAGTGTTTCACTTACCTCCTAAATTCAAGAAAAAATTACTTATTTAGATTTCAATCTTTTGTAGTGTGCTGCCACTTGTGTCTCTGCTGAGTCTATATATATAATGTAATTATTTGTATTTTGAATGTTTTATTCTATTTTATTAACCTAAAATCTGTAGTCTAGCAAACATAAATTCTATATTTTGAAACAAGTTTTGAAGAGTTTTTATTTCTTTTTATATTTTTCACTGTAAAATTCTTACTGTTGTGTTTCTAGGAAGACAATTTTAAGATCTGTCCAGAGACAACAGATGAAAAACAGCCTTTTGGCTAATTCTGCTGCGTTTGCAGGAATGCTTATTAATGTACAACATCCCTGTCAAATAAATAAAATTAAATCCAAAGAAAAACACGGCTCCTGTCATGGCATCTAGATTAACGCTGAGGAAAACCGCAGATGATTCTGAGCCAAACCAATTATCAAAATGAAACACACACGGTGAGAGATGGAAGTGTCACAAGCAGCAAGATTAACTACACTGGAAAAATGATCTAGAAACAATAAAAAATATTATATTAAGTGTATTTAACCTTATTTTGAGCAGGTTAATGAGATAGTTTGCTAATGGAATGAGCGTTTTACTCTTAAAATAAGATAATTAGATAACATTCACTTAAAATAAGACAATTCAATTGTGTTTTCTTATTTTAAATGTAAATTGTCTCGTTCCATTGGCAAAATGTATCTTTTACTTCCTTAATCCAAGAACAAATGCACTTATTTTAAGAAAAAATTACAATTTTTCCCGTGTAAACTTTAGATGGACCCCTTCAGCTGCAGTGTTTCTTTGCTGAGGATTTAGGGGCCTGAGGTGAAGTCATTTCCACGTGTTAACAGGCCTCGTGCAGCACAGCCAGGCAGTAAACATGCAGGACAGCTGCATGCTCCATTAACTCTTCGAAATCCTCACTTTAAATGAGAACAGCTTCAGGAAAGCAGAACATTTTAAGAACAAAAAAGAAAAATCCCCACACATTACTGGAGAGATTTATCTCTTCAGTTCTGGATGATTTCTATCCTAAAATTCTAAAGTTCTTCTCTAATAATAGGAAGTTAAATTAATTAAATAATAACAAATATTACATTTTCTTTTCAAGATGAGGTATTGGTAATTACCCAGCCATATTGAGTTGTGAAATATTCCATTTCTGAAGCCCCACGCTTGTGCCTCTTTCAGTAGTAAGACCAGAGTCCAGAGGAGAGCCAAGACGTGCATCCTGGAGCTGATGGAGTGCAGCTGTTCTGAGCAGATGTTTGCAGCTGTTCTGTCCTCTGCTGCTCTGCAGTGGCGGCTTTTTATACGGACACTCCAGCCTCCCGGGGGCGGTGGCAAACACCCAGCATGGCGGAATAATTAAACCCACTCATGGTTCTTTTCTAACTACTATGTTTGGCTCATGATGCATTTTAAACATTATAAAATATTCTTTTCTAGATCAAAAATGAGTCAACTTTTCTTAAATTAATTGTATTTTCCCTTAATTTAAGTATAAGATAAATTGCCAATCGAATGAGGATTTTTACTCTTAAAATAAGGTAATTAGATAAAATACAGTTGAAAAAATACAATGAAATATTTTTTTATATTTTACATGTAAATTGTCTTGTTCCATTGGCAAAGTGTTTCACTTACACTGCAAAAAAAGTAGATCTGAATAAGTCATTTATTCTTGAAATAAGTGCATTTTTCTTGAATTGAGTAGGTAAGTGAGACACTTTGCCAGTGGAACAAGACAATATACATTTAAAAGAAGAAAAAATAAGGAATTTGTCTCATTTCAAGTCCCGATTATCTAATCATCTTGTTAAAAGAGAAAACATCCTCCTTCCATTGGCAGATCATCTTATTTTCCAACTCAAATTGAGGTTAATTACACTTAATTTAAGAAATTTGTACATGTTTCTTGATTGTTTTTGCAGAGTATCTCCTCAGTTCAAGAAAAAATGCACTCATTTTAAGGAAAGATGACCTATCTAGATTTCCTTTTTTTTTTCAGTGTAAAAGGAGAAGCAGATAAGTACATCTGTCACAAATCAAACGAAAACTTGTAAAAAACTCCATGAGGAACAGTTTTTATATGAATTATTTTTGCATATTTTCGCATAGGTGGCAGCATTGTAATGTATCCTAGCTTTAATGTTTAAAGTTAAACGTCTTTGAATAATGAGACAACAACAAGTACCATCCAGATTCTTTTCTACCAATAGATTGTTGTGTCCCCCATTAAGCATCCTGTTATTTGTTGCACAGAAAGGAAAGCAACACATATTGCCATATTAATGTTTCACTTCCTCTGATAGTATCCAGCTAGTGGGCGGAGCTTCTTTGATTTGCCATATTTAGGCTTTATTCTCAATCCTTCATTGATGTTAATTAAATTCAAAGAGTAAAGCAACACAAAATTATTATTTTCATAAAGATATTAAAGCCGGGATGTCAAAGTCAAATACA